GTATCGCACCATTAGATACCTCTGGCGGGAAGCCAAGTATATGCATGGATGTGGCTCGCTTCTCCACAGTCACCGCTGTCAGTGCTGGTAGGCTTGGAGGTGGGTTGGTATTTGGAATCTACAATCGTGTAGTCTCTGGTGGCAGTGACACGCCGTAGACTCCTACATGGTGATATAAATACACTGAAGCATGAGTTGGTTCAGGAAAACTTGGCCATGTTTGTACTTCTGCTGATGTCTGCTGCCACTGAGTCGGTATCATGTCTCAGCGCCACAACGGGTTTAGCATGGGATTTGGCGTTGGCCCGAACGTCACCCAATGAGATCATGCAGCAACCGATGAAACTCATCCAGTGACAGGCAGGGCAAAAGCCTAGACTTGCTAATGTGAGAATCCCGTCGCCATCTCCCGCCCGGACGGTGTCGGGAGGAACCCTAGTATATCAATGGTTCCACGTACGCATTCCTGGCGGCTGAGACGATGTTATCTTTATCTTTGGTCTGCTGACTCGGCACTGGAGTTCGCAGGCAGAGTAAGAACGGCCTCGGGACAAGCTCGAGGGGGTGGCCAAGCATGACCTGCTCAAACCCTCCAAGGCTACTTTTAGACTTCCACTCCCTGCCTACGTAAAAAAGCAGGTAGTGCCCACGGCCACGCACTACAGCCAGCACTACAGCCAGCTACTACGGGTAATAAATCAGTAACCTACTTAGGTATGTACCTACAAATATGTACTAACCAGCCGAGACTACATGCCCAGCGCAGGGAGCCAGCGTGTTAGTTGGTGCGGTTTAGCACGATAGGTAGGTAGGTAGGTACCTGCTCAGCGGGCCTGCTTAGACACCTGTGGTTTGGGAAGGAACGACCCACGATCCTGTCGAGACACGGCTACTGTCAAGGGGACCCTGGATGAGGCTGGGCCTAGCATTTTGCTTTGCCACAGCCTCATCCCACCCAGCTCGTGGCCTCAGCGGTCCCTGGTTCCTCAGACCGGCTGGCCAAGATGCGACCTATAGAAGGCGTGGCACATGTGTGGACGTGCTATGGAAGCTTCGGCTAGGCCCCGCGACATCACCCACCAAAAACCCAACTCCCGCCAAACCCCGGTCAGGTGGGCCCCTCCCTCCACTTCACGCCGGACCTGTCTACACATTCTTGAATCAACCCTGTGCACTCGCATCTGTCGAGTCCTGCTCTTCTTGTGTTAGCAGATTTACCTTTCGCGGATGCGAAGTCGCATTGATCGGGGACACCATTCAGAGTTTGCTTTCTGCACAGTGATTCAGCGCCATTGCTTCTTCTCTTCCAAATTCTCGTCATCGTCGGATTGCGCTTATTTTGTTTTGATCCTGCCCTCTGATCGACATAGGCATCCAATCGCCATCTCGAGACCAGAGCCATCGCTTGACGGCACCAACTCTAGCTCCGGCTAAAGTTCATCGCCAACACGCTTCTGGGACGCCAGCCGGACTGCCACCCAGCACGAAGCCATCGCGACGTCACCTCCTTCTCCATGGACCCCGCACATGTCTTCCGCCAGGGCCTGGGATCAGTCGCACCTCGACAGTATCATAACCAGGCCCTGAACCTCCCCAGGCGACGCACGCCTGCTCGCGATGAACTGAGTGATGAACACCAGGGAGATGGCTCGGGTAATCGCATCGCGCACACCTTGACTGCTTGTTGCCGTTGTCGCCAGGTACAGTCCTGACCTAACTCCCAAGCTCGAGTGCTTCTGCGCTTGTTGCCTTCCCCGCCCAGCCTCGGTTGTTATCCATGTTTTGCTTGAGTAGACGGAAAGCTAATCACATCTTCTCCCGACAGAGGAAAACCAGATGTGACCCCACATTGCCACGCTGCCTCCCTTGTGAGCGATCCGGGTCGACATGCGAATACCTTGATACAGCCAAAGGCCGGAAAATCAACCGTTTCTATGTCATTAAGCTGCAAGACAAGGTCAGGGCACTCGAGGCTGAATTAGATCAATATGTCGACGATGAGGCCGACTACCCTCATAGCAGCGAAGATATGGTCCGACCAGGAGGAATGGTGAGACTTGGCTCCGGAGACGAAACTCCTCGCTATCTCGGCCCAAGTAGCGGCATAGCCATGACACGACTTCTTATGGAAGAGGCGAAGCGCTTCACAGAGTCGAATCGTATTTCCGAGCTGATTCCCGAGCTCAAAAAGCGAAGAGAAGCTCGCATGCAATCTATTCAGATGACGGGGCCAGTTGGCCGCCAGAGAAGCTTCCCAAAGACAAGCCAGCTACCCGCCGAGAACCTCCCAGGACGGCCCATCGCAAACAAATTAATTGAAATCTTCAACCAGAAATGTGAGTGATATCGAAGTTGATATCCCTTTGGCAACGCTGACACATTATCCCCCAGCGCAAATCTTTTGGCCCGTCGTCCATGAACCAACGTTCCAGAAAGATCTTGATGCCGTGTACAGCGGAGACACTGATGTGTTTAAACTGTTCGTTGTACGTGTCGTAATTGCCATCAGTCTCCAGAAGCTTGGAGACCAGTACGCCGGTCTGGCCGACAGCTATTACCTTGCCGCAATGCAAGATTTCGAAACCGTGCTTCGGCCCAAGGATCTCAAAACACTCCAATGCCTGGTTCTGATTGGACTTTATTCCATCCTCACCCCTACTCGAGTCCCTGTCTACTTTGTCATAGGCCTGGCAGCCAAAATCTGTCAGCAGGAGGGGTTGGTGTCTGAAAAGACGATAGCAGCTGGTGACAAGCCTAACCCTCTAGCCATCGATATGCGGCGACGGCTCGTATGGGTCGTGGCTAGCATGGAGTTTGGCCTTGCACATAGCCTCGGGAGGCCGAATAGTTTCGCAACAGCCGATGAACAATTGGATGTCGGGTTCTTCTCTACCGTCGAGGATGATTATATTACTGAGAATGGTATCGACGCGAATGCCCCGATCAGCGATCGGAAACTTGTTGCAATTCACTTCTATCGGATGAGAATCCTTCAAGCTGAGATCCGTAGAACGTTATATGAAAGGAAACGGCCAGAACCCAAGGATGATACGAGCCATTGGTTTCAGCGTATGGAGCAAAAACTTACTGACTGGCGAGACTCGGCGCCAGAGAACCCGGAATGGTGTAAAAAATGGTATGTACCTCCTTGCTTATCCTTCTGACATGACGCTGACGTGGAAGCGCGTACAGGTTTGCTGGCCGTTGTCACCAGATGAGGATTTCAATGTACAGGCCGTCGCCGCAAATATCGAAGCCGTCGGCGAACGCAGCCTTAATTTGTTACGAGAGCACCAAAATCATCATTGACCTTTCGAGACAGCAGGTTGAAGCCAATGTTGTGGACATAACTTGGGTCTTCATCTTGGTTCTGAACATGGCTCTGAACACTCTTCTTTGGACCACGTCATACGAGGAGGTCCGGCAAGACCATCCCCGTGAAGAGGTGGAAGAGCTTGTCAATGGTTCACTCGACGTCCTGGACAGATGCGCAGAGCGTTGGCCCGGAACTGGATCGTCTTCTCAACTCTACGCCGTATTCTCAAAGGCCTGCTTGCAAAGTTATGAGTCCAAAGGATACCAGCAACGCACCTTGGCAACACCACCTGCAGCGGCGTCCGAGGCAAGTCGGTCACCAGATTACCAGTACCAGATGCACGCGAATACTCCACAGCAACCGATGTACGCAAATCCTCCGCAGTTCGGCCAGGTATTTGATTCACCTCCGGAATCTATTGATGCATATGACCCCAGTTTCCGCCCACCACACCCAACTTTCCGCTCAAACTCTATTTTCCAGAACCCAGGAACTCATGACACCCATGGCCGGAGGTTCTCCTACTTCCCTCCCGACTTTATGCAGAGCGACGATTTGGCCGCCCCTGATGAAGAAACACCACCAAACACCACCCCGACCCCAAATTTCACGACATCTCCTCCGAGCCAAGTGTCACCGTCGCAACAATTGCCTACACCGCCGGAATCGTTGGGGAATATGTCAATGGCCACTCCTACCATGTCCACACCCGCGATGCTTCCCATACAGGCTCAGACCCCGAACTCTATGGGCATGGCTGCTTTGGGAACACCAACTCCCGAAATGAACTCGAGGCCGCAGACCTCACCGTTGCCGCCGTATGGGATGACGCCTGTTCAACAGCACACGCCGGTCCAGCGACCCCTCCCTCAGGAACTACCTTCGTCCAGTGAATGGTTCACTCCCCCGGCTTCATTCATGAATCCATACACCTTCGGGACCATGGGGGGCGGTTTTTACGGAAGCGGCCTACCTGCTGCTGGCCAGTATCAGGAGTTCTCAGGAGCTGGATTAGGGTTACAGGCCATGAATTTTGGTGCTAATGGCTCCCAATTTTCTCCGGTGGCAGTTCGGCAGGATAGTCTAACCCAGTCCCAGCAGCTTGAACTTATGAACGTGCTGGAGACGGAAGGCGTCAGCGATATCGATGCATTTTTAACTTCAGGCACCATGGTCGCTTCGAAATGGTATTGATAACTGGATATCTCGGTCATAATACAGCAATTTGCCTCGTAGTTTATCTTTTTGGAAACAGAATTCAAGTAAAGAGGGTACCTAGGGACATGGCGTCTGGATACTTGGGTGGATATAGCCAGGTTTAGCTTTGCAGGGTTATGACTTCATCAATTCTCTTTGTTTTTCTCTTCTTCGTATCTTTGCCAATTCTCGTATTTCTGATGCTAACTGACCACGACTCTTGTGTGAACATCGCCCGTGCTAGCTGTACTTGTTTCGAAATGAGCTCATTTTGTCGAAACCTCACAAAACCTGGCAAATTCGTAGCAAATATGCGGAAATCATCAACCATCTACGTAATAGACCGAAGCCGTCCATCCCATGACCCTTTGAGTGCACCTCTAATGCATGCTAGAGCTGGAACTAATGCAGAGCCACTCAATGTTTGCCTCGAGAGATCATCCAAACGCCAGTCACCCACTTAGACCGACGGTGAAACGCAGCCTAATCAGTCCTTGGCGTCCGCCACATCCAGATTCCGCATGGCGGAGGCCGCCCCGTCCACCTGGGCGGCGTTGCCGACCGTCTTCTTGGTGCGCTTCTTGCGCTTCGTCGTGCCCGTGACGACCGGGGCGTCGCGAACCCAGAGCGCAATGGCGGCAGCCCGCTCGGTCAGGAGCGGGTACTCCTTGCTCTCGTCGGCGGCCCATCGCTGAGTGGCGGCGGGGTCCGACGCGCAGTTGTGGCAGATCTGGGGTTGATGCTGATGCTGGTGCTTCTGCTTGTTAAAAGCGGTGGTGGCAGCTGGGTCGGCGTAAAAGGACGAGCCGTTGGCCTTGGCGGCGCCCGAGTACTCCTCTTCGGCGCGCTTCTCCCTCGCCATGATGGCGGCGCGGAAGGAGGCCTCGTCGACGACGCGATCGTCGTCGAGGGCGTCGAGGATGGCTCGTTCGCGCACGCGCTCTTTGCGAAGCTCCTCCGCGACGGATTCGGGCGTGTTGCCGTTCATGAGAGCGGCGGCGGCTGATGCGGCGAGCTCTGGGCTGGAAACGGACACGGTCATTTCGGAGGTGGGTGTATCGAAAAGGGGTAGCGGCGCGGGGACACAGAGATTCTCCCAGTTGGTGCTCAGGGTGAGCCAGTTGTCGGCCCTCCGGAGCAGGTCGATCCAGTCAGAGCGGGCGGGGGACCTGCTCGCTTGGAAGACGGGATAGCCGTCACAGAGTCTGACTATGCGGGCAACCATGTATGCGTGACGCTGCAATTCCTTAACTGAGGTTTGCACCAGGCAGTGGCAAAGAAGAAGAGAATGGAGGGCATCTGCCAGCAATGGGTGGTACGTGGTCCATTCGCAGGTGGTAGCGCCGCCGCTGTGGTAGGAGCCCTCGGAATCGTGCTTGGCGAGGTCTTGAGGAGGATATGGTGGCAGCCCAGTAGGTGGAACAGCGCTGAACAGGTCCGAGACTGAATAGACAACGTGCTCTGAGATGGGGCTTGTATCCGAGACTCGTGGGTTGCGGGCACCATGCGCAGCGGAGTTGACTCGTTCGTTAAAGTCTCTGACAACTCGGGTGGGCAGGTTTGGAGAATATTCAAAGTGAGATATGAAGGCCATGTAGTCCCTCAGGGCTCGCTTCGCCATGAGTTTGACCGACTTTCGGGCCTCGGCCTCTTTCTTGGACGCCTCGCTGTTTTGACCTTTGCTTTCTGGTTCCTCATCGCCGTCCGCCGAGGGCCCTGGGTCGTTGGAACCTGAAGGGTTTCCTGACGGAAGACCCTCCATGACATGATTGCAGGCCATGGTCAGGTAGACCGACGCTCTCTGGAATAGAAGCTGCCCCTGGATGCTGCGAGGTTGATCTTTCTCGGCCAGGATGACATCCTGTGCCCGTCTTCTGGCACGTTGCTGATCATAAACCTGCACCTCCCCTCCAGGCGTGTTCGTGTGGGAAGGCAAGTGGTATCGACATATCTGCAGAGCATGGGTGAGGTCCTGTGCCGCACCGTCGTAGTCCTCCTTGAACACCTTGACAGTTGCTCGCGTCCGCAACGCCTCTGGCTCCCCGGGGCGCTCGCTGATGATATCGGTCAAGGGCTGCAGGCTCGTACACTCGGCAAGCTGCCTGGATGGGATCTTCTCGTGGAAGAAGTGGACGTATTTCGCATCCGGGTCCTTCTGGTTGCGCTGCAGCACAGAGCTTCCAACCTCCTCCAGCGGGGAAGCGCCTTGCATCGTAGCCACACTGCAAGCGATCTCGTCAAGACGGTACGCGCGGGCCAGCTTCTGGCTGGCCTGCTCTCTCATGCGAAACTTTCGCTCGCGGCTAAGTTTGGCGCCATGCCCGGTGCCGCCTATTCCCAGGGATTGAAGTGTCGATATGTCCGGGATGCCACCGTTGACGTTTGTCAGTGTCGGTGAGGCAATGTCACTAGCAGCCCTCACGGCAAGGTTCGTCGCCTCGTCGACAAGCCGGCGTACCTTGACGAGATCGAAGAAGGAAGCGGGATCAATGGGCCGGGGTCGCGGGGTGTTGTAGTTGATGTTGGCGATGGTCTCGAGAATCTCAACGGGCATCTGGAGCCATGGTCCATGGAAGGCTGAAATGTATCGCCAATGCCTATTGGTATAGGGTCAGGGGTACGGTCTCCTTCGAACGCGGAAAGGGCATATGCACAACATCAAGGTACACAAGTGTTTGGTGTAGTACGGCATGCACATGAGGCAAGGCCAGGAGCTCGCTCGGCGATATGCAGAGGGCGCGGAAAATGAAGAACAAAACGGGGCACGAGCATCGAAGGCAAGAGGCAAGGCAATGAAAGCACATGGTTGGCAAGCAACTAGACAACTCACTTATTACGGCAAATGACCAGCGAGGACGAGGACGAGGCTGGGACAACGGTCGGGGACTTTTTGGTGGACCTGGGCGCTGATGCCCCGGGGGAGACGGGCGCTGCCGTTGCTGATGGCGCCATGGTCTCGCTTTCTCCAATTGAGGCAGGCTTGGTCTTCTTCTTTGCCATAGCTCAGGCCAAGGGTGTGGTGGCGAGCGAAGACAAGACGTTGCTCGCAGGGTCGAGTCAAGTGTTTGCAGCACCACCTAGAAATCCCACGATGGGAATGTGGGGGCGGGATGGAGAATGCGACAGGGCTTAGTAGTATTAGATATACGTGCGCCGCGTGTGGCGGAGGGAGGAAAGCCGAGCAGAGAATGAATGCTAAAAGTAAGGCTGGTGATCAACAGCGATGCAGATGCAGGAGAGAAAAAGAGAGAGAGATGGAACGAGATGTTCGAGGGAACGGGGTGTTTACTTTTCGCCTTGTGACGAAAGACGGGAAATACATTCAAATCAATCAATCTCGCAGTTCGGCCGCAGTTGGCAGGTACGTACCTTTTTCCCGCCCTGTGCGTGCACAACGGTGTTGGGCGAGCAGCTGAGAGAAGCCGTCCGCAGTGATCGCGCAGGGCTAGGCGGCTTAAAAGAACGAGGTGCAGCGGTCAAAAGAACACGCGCAGGGTCGCTTCTGGCAGTTCGAGTCCATGTTTGTCCGTTGACAAGTGTCTTCAGGTGCGGGCAAGCGAACAGCCGCTTTGAGGTTATCAGCATCACGTGAAATCCCATTCTCACTCACTCTCCACTTCAACCAGCAGGCAAATGTGCACTTTTCGGTATCGCATCCCTTACAGACTACATACTTACGAATGAGGCGAGAATGTTTCGCAAGGGTCCATTGGAATAGCTCCATAACTGCTACGTTCGGTATCATACTTGCATCCCAAATATTGCATTTCCTGTGAGCCTCATTCCCTTGCAATTTACATGCTGACGAGAGCGCAAAACCAATTTAAGATAAAGATTGAAGTCAATCAATCAAATGAATTAAAAAACAGATGGGGTATTAATGACCAGCCATCAAGCGACAAAACACAGTCGCGATGGACTTGAAAACAGAAAATGCTCATATCTACTTGGCCCATGATACACACAGAAAAATAAACTCATCCTTTCGTTGTCCACCTCCGCCTAATACTAGATCGTGAGAATACAATGCGGCGTGGACTGAGTCGTTCTAATTCTTCGCTCCTTTTATTCTCCTTCCCCTAATCACTCGAAAGGCTCTACAGGCCAAAGTACATGGCGGCACCACCGGCGACGGCGAGGACGGCCGAGGCAGACCACGAGCCGAGACGACCGGCAGCGTTAATGGGGGGCGACGAGGTCGTGGCGGCAGGAGCAGATGTCGATGGGATGACAGGGCTGCCAGTGCCCGTTGGCTGGCTGGCGGTGGTGGTGGTGCTGTTGCCTCCAGAGCTCTTCTTGACGAAGTTGGCGCAGGTGATGCGGGTGTTGTTGCCACCGTAGTGCAGGACGAAAGACTTGTCGCCGAAGAAGGCGGCGTCAGACTTGGTGGTCGAGGCGTAGTCGTCCTGGTAAGTCTTGTCGTAGGTGCCGGCACTCTCAATCTTGCCGTGCTTGCCAGCCAGGTCACCAACCTCGCAGATGGCAGGGTTGGAAGCGTCGCAAGCAACAGCGGTGCCAGCCTTGTAAGGGTCCAGGTGAGAGGAAGTGGCTGTGCAGTTACCTCCCTCTGGGACGGGCTTGAGATGGAGGTGGTAGGCTGTGATTCACGGTTAGTTTGTGTTGTCGGACCGGTGACTCGAGATGGGCAAACATGACTTACTGAAAGGACCACCCGCAGCCGGGATTCCCTCAAAGTGAACGTTGAACTTGACACCACGGCCACTGTCACCAGCCTGGGCGGTGATGGAACCCTGGATCGTGGGGCCGCCAGGGAAGAAGGAGGTGCCGGGCAGGACAGCCTCGTACACATCGCCGATTGGGTTGCTGTTGGTGACAGGAGCCTTGCCAGCGCTGACCATGGCGGCCGCGGAGAGCATCATGAGAGCAGTCTTGCCGTGCATCTTGGAGGTTGGGTTGGGGTTTTGCCGGGAGGGTCAACGATGTAGGATAGTTGAAGTGAGTGGACGGTGAAACCGAAGCGACAGATAGCTCAACAAGTGACTGGGGGATGAAGGAGAAATCGGGGTGGTGATTCCAAGAACGAGCCAGAGTGTGGCGGCCGGCACTGTCTTATAACCAACAGGCAGACCCCAAGCACCAGCTGGTCTGGGGAACGATTCGCGCTCAAGTGAAACAAGGATACACAAGGCTTGGGCTGGGGAGCAGGGATCCGATCAGACATCACACATATAAGTGGAGAGCAACTCTATCTCGGGGCCGGACCCAGATCATCTTACATTATCCATGAATTATTACCTAGTATTAATTCCAAAACAAGGGACGGAGACGGCTTCGCCTGCCAGTCACGCCTACTCTTCCTGGAATGGTGCGCGGCACCTACAGGCCCGTTGCGACCGGGTTGACGCTACCTCGCAGATTTTAGCTGGTTTGCCCGGCTGTACAGCACCGAGCTTCCCAGAGGTGGCATGGCAGGGAGGAGGTACTGTGTAAGGGGCGGCTTGAGGGTGATGGATATATTTAGCAACAGCCAAGATCGTTCCGACGCCGCCAATCTAACCGACATTCCAGCCACTCTGCCTGAAACGCTTCCGCTTCTTTGTTTCCCTCGTTCACTCTATCGGTCGGCTCTCATACTACAACTTCGCACCATGTGGCATTCTCGGCCGTGACTGTGACACGCTGACTATGGATGGAGTCCGCTCCGTGGTCAATTGGCCGATCTTGCCCACGCGAAAACATCAAACGTGATTTTTGGCTAAAAGTTTCAATCGCCTAGGTACCTGCTAGCAACCCCCTTGACCAGTCGCGGGAGGATCTGCATTAGAAGAAATGACCGCAGCCGATGTCAGCAGGCAGTGATTGGCCCCGTCCTCACCACTCCCTGTGCCAGAACGTGCTACCCTTCCCTTGCCTTCCCCCCGAGGAGCCAAAAGCCAGGGGTTGATGGGGCAGACCAGACTCAATGTCTCATGCACCCGGACAGGTCCTGTTTCGTCTCATGTGGCACGGCCAAGGCATGGATCTGCCTGTGTAAGCTCTGCTCGGAGTAGGTATGTACGTATGTCGCAGCAAAAAGTCCGATCCAACAGCCTCTTCTTCGGCCCTCGCATCCTCAACCGACCGCGAAGCGGTGATACTAGTGCTACGTACCTGCATCTAGCCGGGCTGCCCTGTGACCAGGATCTCGCGGTGTGGCTGTCAGAGCAACACACTAAGACCTAATAATGGATACCCAAGGGCTTATTGCCTGCAAATAGAGTCTCTCGTTGGTGCCAAGTGATGTGAGAGGGCTGGCTACTTAGCGCTGATGGCTGTGTTTGCGAACACCACAGCCTTTCGTTCTCCGCGATCCGCGTTTGCGACCTCGCAGCACAGTTGTCTACCTGTCGCTCAGTTATGCGCACGCACGCACCAGCAACAGCCAACGCATGAAGCTTGTTGGCCGTCTCAGCCAAGCTCGGCCAAGAACATATAGATTTGGTTATAGGCAACAGCCGAAATTCAAACGCTGCAAGTTGCATCCATGCATGAGCCAGGGGACGTCTGCGACCATTCAGTAAGGTGACATCTGGAATAAATGACATAGCTATGGGAAATTAGACGCTGTCGTAGAAGGTGAAGATCACCAGCAACAAATCCGTCACAAGGACCATGAATATTGATGCCTTACCAATATGGCGTCAATTCAGGTTTCACTTTATATCTACCAGCCTATTGCTTACTAACAATATTATTGCTATAAATAATTTTACTATAGGGTAGGCCGTAAACAAGAACTTACTAATCTGTCATACGTCAAGCTACCGGCGCATTTGCGGCAGTGCGACTTCATTGGTGATTGAGCTAGAGGTCAACGCATCAGATCACAATATCGAAACTCCTTGCACCCGCACGCGATCATCTCAACGCATCTCGACCGATACACAACACCCCATACACCTGCCCATCATGAAGCCCATTGTTAGTGCCGGAAATGCATGGTCATGGTTCGTTCTCCCCGTTGCCGCCACGTCACGGTCGAAAGCCAATTCCAGCCTCGCTCGAGCTCTGCCTGGGACCCGTTGCTAATCAAGTGAAATCGCACCAGCACTGTCGTCTCCGTATTCGCCATCATCATCCTCAGTATCATTGCCGTCCTCTACCGCAGTGAGCACGAGGAGTTCCCATCCCAGGACCCCAAGGGAGTCTCGGGAACCATCTTCACTGCTGTCATCGTTTACGCTGTACGTCTTGTCCGACCTGAACCCCTCGCCTCCTACCATCGATTCACGAACGAGAAATTTCTAATAATGCCCATTATATAGGCCTTCTTCGTGTGCTGCGGTCTCCAGGGTCTCCTCCACGTCCGCGAGAGCCGACGCGGCGCCATCTCTCTGTCGTAGAAACACAGGCACCCGTTTACATGCATCTACCACCGATCGGGCGAGCGCTTCAGTCCCCCCTTCTCTGTTATTTTTAGTTTCATAGGGATCATGGCGTTTTAGGAATGCAACATGCGTCTACTTTCTTTGCCATTATGTGCGCAGCACCTTTTATGCTTAAGAGTCGACGATATACTCGATCTGCACCAGCCGGCCAGTTGTCGCGGGAAAGGCCGGAAGTAGAACACACTCCAGCAAGGGCAATTAGACGGGATGAGGGCGAACACTCTTCGGGCGCGTCGTTTATTTGTGTACCCAAGAGCAGACATTTTGACAGCTGCTGCAGTCTCTAGAATAGACAAGCATCAGAATGTATCAGTACTATTTCTCTTAATTTCTTAACGATCAACCGCAACCTGAATTCGTAGGTTGATGTATATTAAAAGGCCACTGGCATTCTGCAAACGGCCTCGTTAGGTGCTTTCTCGCGTTAGTTGCATCGATACGATGTCCTTGCTGGACTCGAAGGGTGGTTTCACGATCAAGGTTGCCGGCATTGTTTCAGAAAACTTCAAGTATATTTGTCCTACATTGCATAACAGGTAAAAACAGATGAGCGTGTGGCTGTACAAAGGAGACATGCGAGAGCAGGAAACTACTGCTCACATACATTGGTATCTTAATTTTGCCAGTATCAAGGGCTGGCATGGATCATGTCCTCCTCACTCCTCTCTTCGTGCCTCCTCGCTGGCCTTGTCCTGGCCAGGCTCTATCATCCTCAGCTTCTCTTGGACACTCCGGGGCACAGCAACAAACGGCCTCTCCTCGGGAACAAGTCCACGGGCAATAAGCTGCTCAGTTGAGATATCTGGCTCCTCGTCCAAGACCCTCTTCAGCTCTCGCGCCTTGTCAGTCACATCCTCAATGCCGGCAATCCATTCCCGGGCCCAGGTATCGCTCAAGGCGCCTGGAATACCGATCTGGATGCTCCTGTAAGGCAAGACATCTAGCGCGGGCGTCCGTTCAGGATCCCACTGGATCCTGACGTCGCTGGTCTTTTGGCGCGGCCCCCCTGCATTACTCTGGGAGGGCTGTACGTGCGTGGAGAGGACCCCTTTCTCCAAGAGACCGACGAAGTCCTGGTGCTTCATCTTGATGGCGAGGATGCGGCTTTGGCGATCATCTTTGTATGAGTAGCCGGCCCTGTACATCATCCAGCTCCAGCTCGGCTTGACCCAAGTCATGCGGCCGGGTTTGAACTCCGGCGAGGCGTTGAGCTTCTGGTTAGCTACCGCCGCCTCGGCGATGGAGGTCTTGTAGGCTTGATAGACGGTGATGTAAGTTTCATCGTAGAGTGCCCTGATTTGGCGATATGGTGTCTGGACGACGTCTGGTTCCATTGTGAAGGAAAACAATATCGACCAAGTCAATGATTAGGCAATTAGTCAATATGCGATTATGTATGCGAGTAGATATTGATTCGATTTGCTGGATTACTGAGTGCGACTACCTGCGTACTATCTTGCCTGTTTATACATCATTCGAGTCTAACAGTACCTATCCTTGAGTAGGTAGACAGCTGGGCTGAATCACCACGGCGAGGAACGGGGTGAGTCTTTCACCGTTGGTGGCATTTATAAGTTGCTTCAGCCTCAGCTAGCTTGGTGGGGTGGTCCCGACATATCAAATGGCACTGGTTTATGACATGTGCTGTCTAGGCCGGCTGAGATTTGCCCTTGGCATGGGTGCATACCAACGTACCGGATGAGATACGGGGGAGAGTTTGAAATAAAAACAGCAATAGAAGATGCCAGACCCGATATCTCAACACAATTTAGCAGATGAGATAGCAGTCACAAGATTCCAGTCTGCCAGGGATGTCGTTAGGTAACGAAGGGGTTACATGTGCAGAGCCTAACAATGGCTGCAATGGCCCGTTTTAGCACTTGTTACTGACGCAAGTGCCCCGTAAGCTGATCTGGATTGTTTCATGTGGTCACCGCATCGCATCAGGGTCCAGGCAGCCAGCTTCGGTCTCCTCTACATGTAGGTAGACACCACGTCCCATTGCATCTGATATCACGTACCGCCCCATTCATCCTCGATGTATTTTCCCCGTCCTCACGGATGCACACAGCCTGAAAACTGGTTTCCGCGTGAATAAAGACGTAGAGCGTCACGCGGGCATCACGGCGGCTCAAAGTACATAGTGCCAAGTACCGGCGTAGCATCAGCCAGGTCACAGTCCATATTAAATTCACACATGATACATCACACGGCGGGAAGGAAGGTACTTGTGCCCCACCTCCCCTCAGCACCGCCGCTATTATTACCTGTTACTGCTACCAGACCTTAATGCCACTATTACCGCCTCTTACCTGGGACCCTTCTTATCGACTTATCGAAGCGCACCTATCTCGAGCTTCACCATCCAGACTGGCAGGCCAGATATACGACGTCTCAGCTTCCCGATCCTGCAGAGCTGCCTTCTTGTACGCAATCCGAAAGAAAAAAAGACGTCAAAATAGGACCCGGGGTTCGTCGTGACGCTTTTGCATGTCTCCTCCAGAGCAGCCGGCATTCCTCGTTAGCCACCAAGGCACTACTACCGACAAGCCGGCCAACATCAAGTCAGATGAAGCCGTGATCATGGCACAGAACCCCTCCGAGGGGAGGCCGCCCGCCATCGATATCAACGGCGGCAGCTCCGCAAAGCGTTCAGCTCAAATCTCCAAGGACACAGAGGATTTGATCGACTTGGACAGCGACTCAGACCTGCCACCTGCTCCTGTCAAAGGCAAGGCGGCCGTAAGACCCGAACCCGTGCCTAGCACTCCTCCAACCATCCCCGCCGACAAGAAGAGATCCTCCACCGACGCCTCAAGTCAGTTTCTTGCTCCCGAGTCTCAATACGTCGATCCGACGCCACCTACACCCGTCACCTCTCAGCCCCCGTCCCGAAGCCCATCCAGCGGTGCCCGTTCGCAACGCTCCAGCACACAATCACCCACCAGATCAGATCCTGAGTTCGACGAGAGGAGATATGCCAGCGAGGATGAACAAGAAAATGGATCCAAGCTGGAGATCAAGACCATCATGGACCAGTTCAGCTCTGTTGACGGTGGTCCTGGTGCCGGCGAGGTCATGAGCCCGAGACTGGAGATTGCTTCGCCCATGCTTGGGAGTCCGGTATCGCAGCACCCCCCGCGTAAATCCAGCCTTGAGCCTCTTGCGCCTACGATTGCAGGGCAGATGGAGCATGATTTAAAGAAATTGAAACTAGCGACCACATCTCCGAGTCTGGAAGCCGAAAAAGGCCAAAGGGATTCCGATGATGCAGGGCCGCCAGTCCCCCCCAAAGATGGTTCCTCCGGGACGTCCAAATCAAAAGACGAGATGAGCTCGAGTATAACCTCGCCAATATCACCTACAGTCACCGGCCACCGGCCACCTCCTCCTGAACCGGAGCCAGAGCCAGCCCTTCCCTTTGATTTCCACAGGTTCCTCGAGCAGCTCCGTAACAAGAAGGCCGACCCTGTTGCGCGATATCTCAAGTCGTTTCTATCTGAATTCAGCAAGAAACAGTGGATGGTGCATGAGCAGGTTAAGATCATTAGCGACTTCTTGGCATTCATTGCCAACAAGATGATGCTGTGCGATGTGTGGAGGGAGGTATCTGATGCCGAGTTCGACAATGCTCGCGAGGGCATGGAGAAGTTGGTTATGAACAGGTTATACACCCAGACCTTTTCCCCAGCCATCTCCCCCCCGAAACCTATCCCGGGTGCCAAACCAAAAAGGAGAGGCGGCGACCCTCCCCTTGGCCCCGGCCGTCGTGGGCAGCATCAGGAGGACGTGGAGCGCGATGATATCCTAGCTCAGAAGATCAACATATATGGGTGGGTAAGGGAACAGCATCTCGATATACCCCAAGTTGGAGAGAGTGGGAAACGGTTCTTAAAGCTCGCACAACAAGGCAGGTCTCTTCTGGTTTTTCCGAATTCTTACCACAATTCACATGCTGACCAACCCAGAACTGTTGAAAATCAAATCATACCGAGCACCACGAGACAAGATAATATGCGTCTTAAACTGCTGCAAAGTTATTTTCGGTATGAAGTAACCTGAACATACAGACCTTCTAATTAAGGGGCCAATGCGAAATCAAGCTAACGTTTTCGACCCATCCATTTATCAGGTCTCTTAAAGCACAATAAGTCTGATTCATCGGCTGATTCATTCATGCCGATGCTCATCTATGTTGTTCTACAGTCGAACCCCGACCACCTGGTCTCGAATGTGCAGTACATACTACGATTCCGGAACCAAGAAAAGCTTGGGGGGGAAGCGGGCTACTACTTGTCGTCCCTAGTAAGTTGGCATGATGTCCCCTGAGGCTGCCATACAAGTACCAATATCTGACATCATATAGATGGGCGCTGTTCAATTCATTGAAAACATGGATCGCACAACACTCACCATCACGGACGCTGAATTTGAGGCGAATGTAGAGGCTGCCGTATCGGCAATAGCGGAAAAACACCAAGCTGCTAATTCTCCCCGCATACCTGACCGTAACCAACAGGTCTTCAACGAGAAATCGCCCCTCAGTCCAACGGAACCCGTACCAAGGCGCTCTCGCGATGATCAAACCAGAAAGTCATACGAAGGCACCAACAGCAATGACACAATGGCCATGGGCGGCCTCTTAAAGACCATCCAGAACCCACTCTCCACCATCGGCCGAATCTTCTCTGACGACGGCGGGCAATCATCTGCTCCAAGTCCACCCGTCCCTCCTACGACTCCTCGACCACCACACCCAGGGTCAACTGCACAGCGGCCTTCGTCCCGACATGCCCTGTCAGCAGAAGAAGCCGCTGCCAGGCAAGCAAGTGCCGAAGCAGCCGAGGCACAGAGACTTCATCGCGCTGAGCACGCCAACGTAGTCGAGACTCTCTCCGGCATGTTCCCAGATCTAGACAAAGAAATCATTAGCGATGTGGTGCACCAGAAGCAGGGCAGGTAAGCATAATCCTACCCCTTCCATCTTTACCCCCTTCATTCGTCTCCGCCCTACATAACTCTATGCCACCTTTTCTCGCCAGTACTAATATATGTGCTTGTCTCAGGGTCGGGTTAGCTGTCGATGCTTGTCTTGCATTATCAACATGAGGATTAGCCAGGCGTGTCACCACCGTCGATTGGTCCAAATTTCATCGCCTCAACCTCTCCGCCTCCCCATTTCCCCACCGTTTGTCTCCCGGTTTATTTATTTTGCTCTTTCCCGCAAGCATAGCTCTGGCGTGTTTTTTTGGGGGAAGCGGACACGGAATGGCTCGAGTCGGCGCCAATATGTAGATAGATTCTTTGACGTGGAACAGTCGACGAGCATGGTTCAGGCTGTAAGCAAGAATGGCGGTATTCATCTATCTGGTCAGCATTATTTTACCCTGGGTAGGGTAGGGCAGGGTTCATGCCGCTCACCCCTTCTGGAGAGGACAACCGGTCCCCTCAGGATCGATCTCGATATGCGTGGAATCAAATCCACCGTCTAATGAAAGGAAATATCAACCCATTCTATAGACTTTCTCTAAAAATATTTAACCTTGTGTATCCTGTGAATACCGCGTATCAGATGGGATTTAAACAGCACAGCCATGCTCAAGATGCCGTTCCTTCCCAAGATACCTCCGTCGCTAACATTCAAATATGCCCAAAGTGTTACAAAGAGATATATATGTACATATCCAAATCCTATGGGGGGGGGGGGACTCCAAACAAGTTTTTACCATCCGCGGTAACCCCGAGCCCCATCCATCGAGTACTGGTATGCGTGCCCACCGTTGTTGGGCGAGGTGAGATTCCTGGAGCCGTTCTTCTGGGAAGCGTAGGACCAGCGGCTCGCGTCGTTCGCGTAGTAGTGGTCCGGGGTGTCCGGCCGGCCTGAGCTGTGGTCGAGCATCTGGCGGTGGCTGGTGGCGATGGAGATGACGGATTTCCTGTCCGAGTGCTTGTGGCCGGCGATGATCGAGATCCGGCCGTCCAGGGGGGTGAGAGGGGTGAGGTCGTCCATGTCGTGTTGCATTTTTTCTGCAGATTCATATTAGCCACGTCCCAGGCGGGGAGAAGAACTGATAAACACAGCATTTCAGGGGCAAGAATAGCAATGGGATCAAGGAAAAAAGAAAGAAAGAAAAAAAGAAAAAAGACTTACCAGCCTCCTTTCTCCTCTTGCGATGCTTATTCGTCTCGCACATGGCCATGAAGACGTGCGCAACGAGCAGCAGGGCCAGCACGCCCGTCAGGGTGGACTGGACGGCGATGAGCGCGACCCCGGTGACCGTCTTGGTGTCCTGGCTGATGCCGAACTCCCTGACGAACACGAGGACGCAGACGACGGAGAGGACGCGCACGACCTGGATGACGATGTTGAGGATGTTGTGCGACTTCTCCTCGAACGGGCGGCTCCAGAGGAGCAGGCCGAGCATGATGGCCTCGACGATGAGGATGGCGATGGTCTGGCTCTTGCCGGCGCCGTCCCCGGCCGCGATGATGATGCCCTTGACGGCCATGTAGACGATGAACGGGACGAAGACCCACCAGTAGTCCCGCTTGTAGCTGTCGTAGAAGATGGAGTACTTGGTCCAGGTCTCCTTGTCGTCGTAGAGCGCGCCGGTGTGGCCGTCCCTCTGCTTCATGATCCGCACGGCCCTCCAGATCCTCCAGGAGAAGAAGGCGAGGACGGCGGTGAAGATGGCCAGGGTGACGGCCGCGAGTGTCGTCGCGGCCCAGGAATCGCCGCGCGTGAACTGGAAGACGCAGTAGAGCACCCAGATGCCGTACAGCATCAGGATAAGCATGGTGATGACTCGGCCAATCGAGCCCCAGTAGTGTTTCCGGAAACCAGTGAGCGACTGTGGGAAGGATCCAAACTTGGCCCAGAGTTCGAGCAGACCTTTGAAGAGGACCATGAAGAAGACAATGCCGGCGATGATGATGGCAACAATGAGAAGAATGGTCATAAAGATATCAGATCCGGGCACGCGAAGCTTCTCGGCGAATGACTTGATGCCAGAAACGGTCTGGCTGACAGTGTCGTCTGACCGGAGCTCCAGATCTCTGATGGCCAGAAACTCAAACTCGTCGAAAGCTCGCTTTGTCTGGAATAGGCCACCACCGCTTGTGGTGTTCTTCAGGTAGGGAACGCTGTCGCCCGTCAGATTTCCGCCTGTCTTCTGACGAAAGTCGTCGATAGCCCGCTGCACGGGCTCCCAAGCAACCAGGCCGGCGCTGAATCCGAAATTCTGACTGAAGCTCTGGTATACGGGAGGATAGTCGACCGACAGCATGCCATTCATTGCCATGCCTTGGAACCAGCCAACCATTTCCGTCAGACCAGGCGTGATCGGCCCAGATCCCGGACCGTACACGGCCGAAGTGATGGCAGATGCACCAGAGGCGAGCACCGAGGCACCAATGACACCGGCGGCCACATAAGAGACAGCGGGCAGCTTCGTCGTCTTTCCGTTGGTCACCTCGAGCTGAATGCAGGCCACAACCTCGTCCGTGCTGTTGTCCTTTAGTTTGAGCGTCCCCGTGGCCGATATGTCAGGAATCTGGAAGGCGATGTCGGGAACCTGGCTTCTGCCCTCCTCCGGAACGTCCTGTGATCCATGGGCGATGAATTCCTGCTCGGGGAGGGGGCAGAGCTGCTCTATCTTGTTGGCCTCGCTACATGGGTCGAACTCGTTCGAGTAAATGTTTCTGCCGTAGGCCACGACCTCCAACTCGGCGCTCACGTATCGTGATCCGGAGCTAGAGCCGGAAACATCAAACGTTACCTTGCCCGTGTCGTGGTTGTAGCTGATATACGCCTTCTGCACCTTCATGTAAGACTCATCGGAGCACATCTTGAAGCCGCTCGTCTCGATGATCTTGTCCGCCACCACACCCGAGGCCATGAGGCCGGCAACAAGCCCGAGCCTCCACCCACTGCACATGCTTTGAAGGGCCACCATTGTCGTCGAGTTTCTATGTTGTCGTCGTAATGGCCAGTCGCAATATCAGGGATCGGGACTCGTGTAAGAAAACTGAGCCGTCTATCTAGCGTGTATATGTCAAAAGGAAACTGAAAGGGAAAGAAAAAGAGCAGATGCTATGCCGAGAGATGTAGAAAATGAATCGTTTAGGGCGCCAGGGAAAGAGACCGGAGTGTGTCCAAGGTCAAGTCTAAGGATTGGATATGGGTTGATAGTTGGTTGTATTTGTGGTCGGAGACCAAAAGTATTAATCAGGTAGTATTGTTGAATCGTGTCCCGGGTCAACCTGGGACTAAGAAGAACGAATTGAAAGTCAAGTCAAAGAGAAAAATGGTGGACTATATCGAGGCCCTTTGGGAGAAGCTTGACCAGCAGCTTCGCCGTATCGGATCTATAGACGAAAGCTCCCAACCGCAGTCGTGTAGCGGAACAGGGAGCTTGAGGCACACAGGGAGAGAAGGGGCACCACCGACGAAGAAGAACAATGATATTCGCAATTGGGAGGGAGAGTGAGCGTGAGCGCTTGGATTAAGAAATCATGTATAGTTTGGTTTACCAAGCGAGCGAGGGAGAGCGAGAGTGAGAGCGATCGAATACAGGGAAAGAAGAGGGAGAGAGGACAAAGCAGGAGGAGTGCCGTAGAAGAAGAATCTTGGCCAAGCACAACTTACAAGGAAGTGCACATCTACCATCTACAATGCAATGTACGTACTCGGAACCCTGCTGGCTCTGGCCTCGACTTACCTGCAGTAGGGAGGTGGCCGTCTTCGTCGGTAGGGATGATGATATGAGCATCAGTGGAATATTCCGGTCCCCTAGCGGTGGCCCGTCGTATTTAGCACCCGCGAAGCTCTGGGAGCCGCAGCTAATTGGCAGCTGGCCAGCGAATCCCTGAGGAACAGCCCCGAGCTGGGCAAAGATGGACGCTGCCCCTGTGGCCGCTCACCACTAAGGGGCCGTTTAGGTAGGGGCATAGGCCCGCTGCAGCCACGCCGCCGACGGCCTTGGCGGCCAGGTCCACTAGAGTGCAGGGCCTGTTTCCACTGTCCGCATTCCACGGCTCGCGGTTCACTGCCTACAGGTATGTATGCCAGGTCCAGTGGCCGAGGACAATCTGAGGCTGGAGCCGGGGTCGCGTGCAGGCGAGATGAGGCGAGGAAAAGGATCGAGTGAAACAACCCCGTCCGTCAGTCGGCCGAACCTCACCTCACCCAAGAATAATAATTACTAGACAGACAGAAAAATAAACCGTCGAGGATCGTGGCGCTTCGAGTCCCCGTCCCGCCTCCCATTGGCCGTCGCCACAAACATCCCTCCCGCCCCAGCTCGTGAAACGAAATAAGCTCCACCTCAACTGTGGCAGTGTCCCCCTAAACCAGGCAGATGAGGTAGCACCAACGTCCGTCATACAGTACGCAGCACTATGTAAGTCGAGGCTGATATTACTAACACGAAATCAAAGGCTTCCGTGCAGAATCATGCACGTATTCAGGGTCATTGCTCCATCCAAAGACCATTGTTCATCTTTCCCTCTTTCTAGATTCCTGCCCTTCTCGCTCCGTCCGAACTTCCTCTTCTATTCTTGTATAAAGCCACAGCACTGTTGTTTCGTCCTGTCTCAGCTCGGACCGCGAAAGGGGTCAGTCCCCGCCTACACCTGAGTATGTTGTCATCCATACAACAGGGGGTAATCATACCATCTTCCATGTCACCTCGAGATTTTGTACAAGCAAAAACATACGGTAAGAGTATCCTTATGAGAAGGTTGTAGATGTAACATCAAATCCATTGTAAGACTAGAAACCTCGATCCCAAAGTTCAAAGCGCCCACGCTAAGAGAAAGGGACAAGTTAAATCGAGAAGGACGGGGCGACCAACAAGGAGAGACAAATCGTCGATCGCTCAAGAATACGATGGTAGCTGGACGAGGTCCTGTGGGGGCACCGCCAACCCTACCCTGTCACTCAAATGATGCGCTCGTTTCATCACAAGCTTTAGTCCCAAATCAGACCATCGTTGAAAGAAATATTTCCTACCGAAGCCCAAAGGCGCCCGTTTCCTTGATTCGCCATGATAGAAACAAAATTCGCTTTGCCAAATCATCAACAAGGAGAAGTGAAGAAGAAGAAGAAG